GATTCAGGATGTCATGAAACCCATCAGGAGCTGAGGTTTCTAAAATGACGGCCAGGGACAAGAAATGACTCTCCATACTTATCCAAACATGGTATGTGTGTGAAATAACTCACTCCTAGTTTTCAGTGTTTCAGAGACTAAATGATCTTCAGCAGAATCCAGTCCAAGCATATAATTCTTTGCATTTAGTACCTACACTGGCTAAGAAAAAAGACAATGTTGGTTGCAGGAAATGCTTCTATTTTACACATCTCTACTCTTGGTGTCTTTCCAAGGACTACGTTAAGTCATCTTTTTCCAAATAAGTTTTCTACTTACCAAATGTAACAGGAAAAGAGAAAAACGGCCCATAGCTGGTCTCTCTAGACACTACTATTCTGTCTCATGGAGGTTTGAAACAACCTAGAACCTTCATGATTCTGAGTTTCACCCTGTTTGGCTGTTGATGTACAAACTCTCCTTATCATCAACTTTCCCGTATCCTATGTAAATACAGAGGAAATTGGCCTTCCCAGAGGCCTCAGAGGCAATAAGAGAATCTGCTTAAATCCTTCCTGCTCTCTTTTTCTTCCTCTTCTCTTTATTATCAACACCATCATTGCTGTCATTTATTAATGTTTTCTATATATTGAAGCCTCATAACCATCTTGGGAAGTAGTTACCATTAACTTATTTTTCAGATGATAAAAGAGGCTAAACAAGATTGTTTAACTGCCTCAAGGTCACACAATCAGAAGCAAAGTCTGAATTAACTATTTAACTCTTGAGGAAATGTTCTTAATTGCAAAGTTATAGGCTTACCTTACAGGATTTACAATGGGGCATAGAATCAAAGCACAATGGACCAGATATGTGGATTTAAGATAAGACTGCATTTACAAAAAGTGATAGGATTAAGATTTAGGGATTTTTAATCCGGGGTCCATGGATCCTTAAGTGTTCACAGACAGATTTGGGGTCTTACCCCTGAAACAGGGGTCAGGCAAACATTTTCTTAAAGAACCGTCTAGTAACAAGTTTTAGACCTTGCAGACCATATGATCTCTGTGACACATTTTACTGTTGTAGTGCAAAAACAGACACAGATAATACACAAGCGAATGGGCCAAGGCTGTGTTCCAATAAAACTTTATTTACAAAATCAAGCAGTTGGCCTGCAGGCTTTAAATGGTATGTGCATATATATATAGTTGTTTTTGTTGTTATTAGGAGAAAATCCATAGCTTTCCATTGCTTCTCAGATAGATTCAATATCTGAGACAGTGAAAACAACTAGTCTAAATGGTCTCCAAGCCTCTCTAAGCCTAGACTAGTTCCAGGGTCCCACAATTCTAAGTGCCTTCTACCTTAATCTCTTAGAGATTCTTTCTCTTTAGCAGGTGCTCTTGATGGATTCTGCAGTGAACTGTTAAATGGACAATACTTACTGTTTGCTAGAAGAAACCATGGGTCACATTACCCTCCAACCTTCCCTGGTCTACCTGGTCAGATGAAACTGGTTAAAACACGAATACATTCCAGAAATATGCAGCTCAGTCCTGCTGAGACTTTTGCCTCCTACCAGAGACCACCTTCTGGTTTCTTAGCCTTTTCCATGGGAAGAACTCACTTGTCCTGACCATGCTCATATGCAGTTAGATTCCTGGGGTTAGCTAGATCTGCCTAGATATGATATGGAGGGGAGGTATGTGGCCAGATGTGTTTGACTGATGGCCTCGGCACCTGTTCAAAGATCCTCTTTCCTGAGGAAACATTTCTCTTAGGATTCTCTAGCTTCATGAATCAGACATCTCATCCATTGCCTTTGTCTATGCCAAGCCACACTTTTTCACTCTGCCTCCACACAGGGCCTTGTCTTTCCCTAAGTAAGGATAACAACTCCTCTGGGTAACAACTGCTGCATACATTCCACTGTATCCACGACAGATCCCGGTACCATGCGTTGACATATGTGACAGAAGAGTAAAGAACTAAAGAAACCACAGAAGTCACTTTTTAGTTTATTAGCACTGAGATCCCTGAAAGCTACAGCCAGTTTTACATTCTTGCATCCATTTTGAAAATCAAAATGGAGGTTGTCCAATCGACTTGGATAACAAACAGGATCAAGTGCGTTAAATTTGAAGAACAAAAGCCTGATACATTAAAAGAAGAAAGCGCAAATATTGTGAATCAGACTGTGACAGCATTCCTATTCCAGGTTTTTCTGAAAATGGAGCGTTGGGCATAGGACAGAGGCAGGAGAAACAAAAGGCAGAAACCAGAAGAGATGAGGAGAATGAAGCAAGGAGAACAAAGAGACAAAGAAGAATACAGACGGAAGGGATGAATGCAGAGTGAGTGCGTGCACACCGACTAAGCACTGCTGGATTGAAATTCAGTGTCATTAGCATGCAGCTATTTCGCACAGCAAGTGCCCCCCAAAGAAGGAAATAAACCAGCAAATGAAAATAACAGGAGAATAAATCACTTAGCCAGTACTTATGGAGACTTCATCCCACATTAGACTCCCGTATATGTCACATCAAGATGAGTGTTAACTCTCTGAAATGAAACATCAATAAGAGGACCACATGGTGCTGACTGTACCCCCAACTAATATTCTAATATTTCAGTTCAGCTTTAATTATCATGTTCATCTGGCAGCAGCATGGTGCCCGGAGACAGAAATGGGTCATGGGAGGCCTGGATTCTTATCCCGAAATATCAGTGTATGACCTTGGTTGGTCAGGCTTTGTGCCTCAGTTCCCTCATTTGTTTAATATAAACAAGAATTTCTTACTATTGCTCTGCTATTTCATAGAAGTGTTAGGAGTATGGAAAAAAAGATATATGTATATATATATATATATTTCCACATGCTTAGATAAGTATAAAATGCCAGAAAAATGTTAAATTGACCTTGTTCTCTTCACTTAACAAGGTAGTGAGTAGGCAGGGGGTGGGGACCATGGCATTTTGCACAGAAGGCTTGGTGACTCAAAGAAGTGTCTTTTTTTCTCCCAGTAATATCTGGTCTAGAATTATTACTGCCTTCTCGGTGTTTTTAGACATACTTTTCTCCTTCAGAAATGCCAAAGGTAAAAAATACTATTCTGCTGCTATAATTTGTCACCCTTGCTGCCTGAGCAAGACGTGCATAGACAGTTTAGTAATTAAGCTTTTCAACACTGCATCATAAAGTTTTATTCCAGCAAAGGCTAAATTTATCAGCTAACAAGTATTAAATCACCACACTGATGAAGCCGTTTCTCACTTGCATATGCTCCTTTCAAAACAGAACTGCTTTCCTTGGCTGGCTTGATTAATAAAACTTCTTGTTTGAAAATATTCTGATGATGTGTGGTCCCGTGGAACTGACATACACACACCTTGGCAACTGTTCCACATGGTGCTGACCCCCATGTCCCAGGGGGGTCTGATACCTTAGCCCTGTAGTAGGGCTAACACAACGTATTGTGGCATCTGAGTCCCGTGGTCCTCTGGAGTGACTTTGAGCAGGAAATATTCCTATATTCATTTCATTCATAAAGGGTAAAAGGCAAGCGGTAAATGAAAATCTAAGCATAAAATGATCTTTCAAAATGATTGCAATAGCAAAGTGACAATTGTCTATATATTAAGTAGGGTTGTTGTTTTTTTCTTATATTGTAGTCTTATCAAAATAAATGTGGAATTATTAGGAAAACACATTTAGAATAGATATCAAAAGTCATCAGTAATGACTGAGAAGCATACTTCTCAAAGCAACCCATCCCACCTTTGCACATTCCCTCCCCCATTGGAGGATATAAATTCATAAAATGAATATAGCATTGCTCTTAAAAATTCAGGATGCTTTCAGCCAAACAGTTCCAGGATTATATTTGTTAAAAACAAAAATAGTGCATTTGAATGACTTTTCTACCATATTTTAAGGGTGAAGCAAAAATAAAGATAAATGTTAGTCAATTTTAAAGGGAAAAGAAATTGTGTCCTCTCAAACTAAGAAAAATTCAACAAAAGCCTTTCTAGCTTCATAGTGTTTAAACTTTCACGCTTACACACCCACTATCAGGCACTCACATACAAAAGAGGAAAAAAATCACCATTTTTCATTAACTTGTAGTCCACATCTTTATAATGAAATAAAACACAAAATAAGTGACATGAACCACATGTAGGCATTTACATTTTTCACCAATTTATTGCTAAAAGGAAACATATAATAAAGCCCCGTAAGATCACAAAACCCACTTTGCGGTTATGTCTTCAAGTTCTGCCTGTGCCTGTGTATGAGTGCTTGATAGTGGGTGTGTAAGGGTGAAAGTTTAAACACTATGAAGACAGAAAGGCTTTTGTTGAATTTTTCTTAGTTTGAGAGGACACAATGATTTCTTTTCCCTTTCAAATGTTAAAACAGAACTCACCATGTGGCTTTTGAAATAAGCAACAGGTAGCTTGTTTGGGAGGCAGGAGATCAATGTCTCTCCAGCCAGCAAGTCATGGGGTCAAGTCACTGAAGCATGTGGACAATATGCCGAACCACCAAGTTGGCAAATATTGAACTATTTTAAATGCATCTATTTTCTGGTTCAGTAAATTTTTTGCTGTGTTTAATTCATTATGCTTGACACAGTCTAAATGTCACAGCACACACTGGAGAGACCATAGTAAAAGATAGCAACAGGTAAGGGTCGGTATATCTTCTCTCAGTTTCTACTTAATTTTTATCTTTCCTATTAAGACTGGAATTTCTTTTAAGGTTAAAAAGTACTATGTGACTTGGAAAGTCAAGTTGAATCTTGTTCTTGTCTGAAAATCAGAAGAGAGCTTTCTTTGTCAGTCAAGTTGCCCTCCAAACTAAGATGATGACACTTATGACCTACAATTCAAGACTACTTAATAACCTGGGAGATAAATGAGAAATAAAAACCACAGTTTTCCACAGAAAACCACAGAAATCTTATAGTTCAGTAATTTGTAAAATTATTAATTCAAGGACACATCTGAAGACTTAAGATGGCGCCTCGATAATGTGATGATTCTTTATTCAGAATTGAAATTTTCACAAGGATAATAAAGATTATGGCATATGAACTGTTACTCTGATTCACTGTAATGCTTTGAGAGGGTCATTTGTTATTTTCAAGTACCACTTTTCCTCCAAGAAGGGGTAGCCACAGCAATTCAGAAAGTGGAGAAAGGTGTAAGGAATGAAGAATTTCCATTCTAGCATGGGTTGTAACTATTGAAATTATAAAATGGATTTTATACTCTATATGAAAAATTACAGTAAGTGAAGAACAAATTTCCAGTAATTTCTCTCAACAAAATAGAAAACAAAATAGTGAGTAATAGAAAATGGTGAAAACAAAGATTCAAACTACAGGTAGAGAATAAAGATACAGTTACTAAACATAATTTTTTAAAGCTTCCAGAACACACAGGGCAGAAGTGATGCAGCCATCAAAGTTGGACTGAGCAAATCCATCCCCTCCACACACAAGGAGGGGCTTGAGATGAAGAGTCATTTGGCCAGGACAGTTGGCAACAGCATTTATAACCTGAAAAAGTAAAAAATAAAAAGATTACAATTGACATTCTATGCTCTATTGTGCTGTCATGGCAACGCCCACCTGTGAGACTTCTCTACCTGGAGAAATCAAGATTCTTACAAGGAGCAGCACCAGACCACCCCCCCCCAAAAAAAACACTCCAAACAAAACAAACAAACAAACAAAAAAACCTCAACGAACCATTAAACAAAACCCAAGACCTTCCTAAACTACCCTTGGCCCCTGCCTGAGTGTTCTTAAATGTTTACATTTTTGGTTATTAGATAAGATAATCAGAAGTATGTTGAAGTTTGCAATCAGTAGGTGTTATGGCCCTTCCAACATTCATATGTTGAAATCCTAACTCCCAAGGTGATGATACTAAAAGGTGGGGCCTTTTGGGAGGTGATTAGGTCATGAGGGCGAGATCTTCATAAATGGAATTAGTGCCCTTATAAAATAGGCCCAAGGGGGCTTGGCCCCTTCTACCATGTGAAAATTCCCAGCCAGAGCCAGAAGGTGCTCTGAGAAAGAAGGCTCTCAGCAGACATTGATCCTGGACATCCCAGCCTCTAGAACTGTGAAAAATAATTTTCTGTTGTTTAGAAGCTACCAAGTTTATGCTGTTTTGCTGTAGCAACCCCAATAGACTAAGACACCCTTCTTCACTTTCCCTCCCTTCCTTCATCCTTTTCTCCCTCCCTCCAATCTTTACATCCATCCCATCATTTCTCCTTCCTCATATATTTCCTGAACATAGTTCTGGGCCAGGCTCTAGGCTGAGCACTGGGAGCAGCAGAATTTTATAATTTTGCAGCCTTGTCCTCAAGAAACTTTCAGTCCTGTAAGACTGACCCCAATGCAGAAAGGGTCTCCCTTCTATTATTTACTGAGCACCTTCTATGTGCCAATGTTTTCCATTTGCAGACTGCATTTCATGGATGAATTAATTCACTGCAATCCATCCTTGTAGGTGACTTTCTATAGAGTTTGATGGATGCATAGAGTTTTCCAGTCAAGGAAAGTCATTATAAGCAGAAAGGGCAGCATGTGTAAATGTCCAGAGTCTGGGGACAAGATGGAGGGAGGGAGGAGAGAGAGAGAGAGAGAGAGAGAGAGAGAGAGAGAGAGAGAGAGA